TAATTAAAAATTAAATAATTGATTAATTAGTTAATTTGAGAAGTGTACGTTTTCTGTCTGTATGAAATTATATTCAACAATTAATGAAGTACAGCCTGCTGTAAAATTTATCAAAATTATTAGGATTTGTCGTCTATTGACGAAGGTTTGCGGTTCACCATCTGTGTCACAGCTATGCGGTAATAGAATTCGCATGAGGATCATTGTTATTTAGATTTAATGGATAGAAGTGGAATTCCATCACGTAATTATTCGTTGTAGAGAAATATTTGATTGGCTTAATTAATATCATGACGTTGTCGATTATTTACGTCTGTATCTCATGTTCACGGTGGCACAATTACACACGATCTCGTCGTATGAGGAATCGTTTGTGAGCTACATAAAGCTGGTTCCGAGTTGGTGCCGTAATTAAATGTCACGCTTGAATAAAAAGGACCACATTCATCACGACGCATGTTGCTTTCGCATCGTTGTATTTATCTGTCTGCGAATTTTAGTCTGCGATTAAACTGTATGACGTAATTTTTATATCCCGCATATGCTAACAGTACAAAATTGAATTAACACACGTTAATTGCGGTGAAATTGTAGAATATGATTTTGCAGGTTCCAGAAATTAATAACAAACGTTATCATTAGCAACGAAATACAGACGGTTTATATAATTTAATTTCTCGGATTTTCTGTGGTATAATAATAGCTACTGTTTTCAAAAGTAAAATTACGAGATAATTAAAATACAATTAAATAACTAGCGTAACTTTGAATTATATATTATAATATTTTAATTAAGCACAAAAACAAGTTATCCTTTTTTGTTACGAGTTCAAGAAAAAATTAAGATATTTACCAGAAGATAAACTTTACGAGTGGTGTTTGAAAAAATACAATTATGTACATATTTAGCAGTTGTGTTTCTTTATATTGCGCAAATATTGCTCGAGATGGCCAATACGTAGGTAGTATCGATTACAGCGCGATACAAGGTCACTTGTATTCATAACTCGGTCCTCGAACAGATGTTGGCAAACAGTCTAATTCGTTCGCCAAACGTACATGCATTACCTGAAACAAGCTATCAATCGAATGAACAAACTATCAGTAGGATCATCACCGGCTCTTCCATTTAATTGAAACCCTTTTGCGACAGGAGAATTGCAATTGCGACTGCAGAAATATTTGTATTATGAAAACCGTACAGATTACAGATGGACAAAAATTTATATATGCATCAAGATTTTATTTATATTCAGAGAGCTATTTATATACATGAAACAAGTTTATAAAAATTTAACGTTTTGTCGTTTCTTGCTGAAGCTGAGAGGAACGAAAGAAAAGTGCAACGCGTTTTCTCAAGGAAACGTCAATATAACGCATGTCCGCCTATGACATACACACGCTGAGCCACGTATTGAGCAATTTCGTAGCTATCTACTGACACTATCAGCTGTCGTACTGACCTGATACATTGGACTGCTTTGAAGCGGGACAGTTGGTATGTAACGAGATGTACACTATCGAGATGCGAGACACGTTCTAACCGGCAGAAGCTTACCGAGGAAAGCGAGGGAGAGACAGAGGCAGAAATAGGCGTGATTCGATCTCTGGGAAAAGAAAACGGCTCGAAATGTCGCAAGTTGCCGAAGGCGACAGCACGATTCGATGAATCAGTGACGTCGATGTATCCATAAAAAGACAGTCGCGGCCGAGACAAGGGCGCGAGTGTACCAAGTGTACGTTTAAGAACACGGTTACCATAGTGATCGTTGGCGTACGGCCAGGAAAAAGCTGTGATAATCTGAAAGAACCAGGATCAGCCTGGCCTCGTTCCGTGTCCATTCTCGAAACACTCCCAGGAGACCTTAACCGAATATTTTCGCCGCAAACTTACCCGATCTCGCGCGCGAACGAACCCGCCAACTCTTCGCCGGAGTTGTCTTTGACGAAACTTTTACTTAGCCGCAACTGGAATAATTGCGCGCCCTTGTATAACGAGTTCGATCCTTTTATTCGCCGCGTTGGGAAACACCGTCGAGAATACGGCAAGCGTGCCACGTTGGAATTTCATGAAATTGCATTTGTCTCGGAACGACCTTGGATTGCATGCAGTTGTGGCGTTACGGCGCGTATCCAGAGGCACATTTTCTCATTGCAAATTCCGGTTCGCTGAAATTCTACGCTTGATTGTGCAAATATTGTCAACGCCAACAGAAACAGCGGACAAATAAGGTTAATAATCAGGCTGAGTTGACTTTCACTTGTGACAACAATAGTTTCGGAGTTTATTTTTCTTTCATAAGGTTTACTGCACACGCACGCGTAAAATTTGAAAGGTGTCACCGTCATGTCACACCACACGCACGAAACGTGCCGCATCTCTCGCGATATCTCGCAATCATCTCTGACAACGCGATATAATTTCTCGCTTGTCACTAATAAAATGAAACGAGCATCGGCACGTCAACCGCGCGGCTGGATCGTACGCGTGAAATTGCAGAATATTAAATTTGCAATCGTATTATCGCCGCGACGGCGCAAGAATTTTTCAGGTCGGTTTATGTCGCAAAAAAAGAAGGAAAGGAGAAAACATTGCCGCCGAGCGATGAACAGCGTTGGCGCTTCGTCGATGTACCTCGTTCTGCGGATAACTAATGACATTATGTCGCTAAATAGAGGTAGCGAACGGTGGAGGATTTACCTATATACAGTTTGAAATTGGTTTTATACGAGCTATAATTAGCAAGCAAACTTGCGACAGAGTTTTATCGTTCTTTTTAGAGCTAATATTGCGAGCGGAGAAGTTGGACTTCAATATATTTAAGAAAATTGCAGAAGGAGATTTTTTATTGCTCTTGTTATTAAAACCAGACACTTCCCTTTTATATAATGAGAAATGTTTTTAAGCACGAAAGAATATTCTTAACTGCATTCTGAAAGGCATAATGTTACGCCGTTTAAGAGATGTAATGGTGCTTTAAATGGTAGCGAAGCTGTTCTAACAACGATTGTGTCGTGATTCCATTTCGGTACGCTGTTGAGCAAGAACAAGCGATATGCTAGTTTATCGAAGTTTACGGTTTGGTTCCGAGCGGAAATCCGAATACACAAACCCGTCGCAGCCATCGTATTCCCAGGTTATCACGAGAGACGCGCGAGAGATTTGTTGCCGCTAAGGATAGATTCTATGAATATCGAGTGACTGGAAACGATTTACTATCCCGCAATATCTAGAATGCGTAATCTCCGTCGCCTTTCGTACTTTTTGCGTACGAGATATTCGTCGACGCGTTATAATCGACCCGTTCTCAATTATGATTCTTTACGGGTCATGAAAATACACGCGATTTGAATCTACATATTTCAGAGCTTAAAGCAGAACGATTAAAATAGACCACGATATGAAAAATTTTGATGAAATAAAACATGCATTAATGTATAAAACTTATCCGTCGTTTTTTTTATTTGATAAAAAGACATTAAATATTTCGAATATTTGTCATGAAATATTCGACGATTTTTTTATATTTTGGATTTAAGGATACCGCGCCAATAAACAAACGTGCAACTAAAAATATTGGTTTTGACAAGCTGGTTTTTATTATTTTTTTCATTTTATTTTTAGTGGCTCATTTAATGGCTTATTTTATGGTGGATATCGCTGAGTTGTAGGATTAACGAAAAGTGAAGCTCCAGACAGCTTCATCCCTTTCGCAGTAAAACTGATCCCGGAAGCGTTACGATTTCTCAAATAAAATCATAGAACAAAATATCACGCGCTATTTTTTTGTTTTTTGTTTTGTTTTTTCGTATTTTTCACAGTTTGTTAAATTCCAACAACACGAACGTTGTGAACTGATATCAATCGGTGCAATTGGAGATATCGATAGAAATTCAATGTTTGTTTAATAATTCGTATATTGCCGCTCGTTAGCCACAGTTAAATACGGATAGGTATAAATGTTCTTTTGCATGCGTTCCAAATGGACGAGGTGTTATCGTCCGCCCGCGAACACAACAGAATATTAAACAATAATAATATTGAATGCTAGTGGATTGTTGTTTATAGATGACACGCAAGCTATTAGCTGGTCGCGTTCGATACAGAATAGCCGCTTTCACGCATACTCGACAAAAGAGTACAAAAGAATACTCGACATACGAGCATGTCGTTAGTCGCATCGCCTTTATTCGCCGATCACATAAAGCCTGATCGTTTGGAACTTTAATTGTTTGCACGTATCTTTTCTCGCTTGTCATCCGCGTACTATCGACACTATCGTCACGCCCTGCGGAGTTAATAGATCTGTACGAACTTTTCTCTTTGTGCAAACGAGATTACACTGTCCGTGCAGTGGTTCGGACAGCGCTACTTTCCAGCGTTCATCAAGTGTTGTTAATAATTGACGGGATTGTGCAACTTTTTTTCACACCCATGCATTCACGATGATATATCTTTCTTTTTTGGAATGAAAAGAACTTTCGAAAAAATCTCAAAAGATTTCAAAGACGTTTATAAATATGAAAGACATTAAGCAGGCTATACATAGAATGTATATCATATGCAGGAGACGTGCATAGCATGAAACAAGATTACAGCTTACTAGATATGTTAAACCCTCCATTGCTCCCATATCCATCTGAAAGATGATACGTGGGCTAAGATACTGTACAGGTATAAGAAACGTACAGAAGTACGTTCCCAAGACAAGACTATTTCTGCATAGGAATATTATCGTTATGACTTTATGAAATTTCTTCGGTTCAGGCGCCAACTCCGACTCCGACTTTGAATTTCGATCGGTAATTCTCGTAAAGTTTTATAGGATCATCGTCCGCAATAAGAAATTGGATCTTGTCTGAATCTCTACGCAGCTGTTACATATTTCGATGCGTCGTATCGTATATGTATACACAATCTATTATTAAGATTGGAATATTTTGCACATATAAAAAAATTGAAAGCTTCGTGAAAACGCATTCAAAGAATTATATTATACTTTTTCTTTAGTAGTTTTAACGTGTAGTGTACCGATAATGGTTTGAGATATATTTAGAGACAAGTACTTACGGGGATAATTAAACTCTACTGTGCACATCATGTATATATTTAACCTTTACTTTTCTAATTATCCAGCATCTTTTCCTAATTATCCAACATCTGCGTCCCGCGTCTGTTTATTAAGTCTCTGCCACCTGCTTCCTCTTAGTTCGGTTTTATTAATCGCACCACATTTTCATCGAATTTGCGACCTATTTTCAGTTATGAGAAAACTTACTTTCTTCGCCTTCTTCTGTTCATTAATTCTCTTTGTATAGTTTCTATTTGTTATCGTGTTATCTTTTGTTCTTTTTAGTCACTTACCACTTTATTGCTTATCTCAGTAGTTGCACCACGATCTTTATTAAAGTAGTCTCGCTCGAGAAGTGTTTAAAATATATGATACTATTTATTAACGTACACCTCGTGAAAGGTTTGGAAAGTTTTTGCTTCATAAATTTCAATTAAAAAGTATAACTAAGTTTCCCTCAATTGTATTGTGTAATATTTGCTTTGAGAAAATATACACGCGTTGCTCGACTGTTATTCTCCAGCACTGTTGCTGAGATGTTTTTCAAAACAGATTTATATATTTACACAAAGATCTATAAAATTAGAAGCTTTCGCGATTTACTATATTTACCATAAACTTTGTTGTATTTTTTAAAAAATGTTTGATAGATCTCTATGCAATACTTCGACTTCAATTTGCTCAAGTTGGAAGTTGATCGTCTTAGGTGATAACTGCGTTTCTCACTTGCAGTAAATTGACATGCATTTTTATCACGTCCGACGAAAGCGACGTAGCATAAAACTCTTGATAGTAACGAACAGCGATTGCTGTAGTATTATGCATACTTTCAGATGCAAAGCCGAAACGTCGGAAGACATCAATATCTTAGGTATCAGAATCCTATTCCGACGTAACATATATTTCTGTCACACGTAGTTAGAGTTTTATCGAAGAAATGTGGCAAAGAGAGATGATTTGTCGTTATAGATACGGCTGTAACTTACAATATACAGATAAATGTGACATTGCAGTTCTCGAGTATTGCTATTCTGTGTACAACAATGATGTGTTTTAATTTTTGAACTAATGTTGTATCAGAAATTTGTATTCTATTGATTATATTTGTTTCACTTTTATTACATATAACATAATTTAATTGAATGTTTGAAAACTTATTTATGCAATCAAAATTATATAAAATAAACTACACTTGTTTATTTAATGAAGAAATCTCTGTTATTTTCTCTCATTAAATTTTCGTAAATTTTGCTACTCGCTTATTAAAACTTATATAATTATTTCAAAATTTTTAATAAATATATAAAAATGTTTCACATTGCATATACACTTTAAATTTAATTAAAAGTGTTATAATTACATGTGACAATTAAATAAACTTGATATGAAAATTTGTATACGTCGCATTTTACTTTATTTTTAAGGCAGATACATATTTTAGCATATGCAAATATTTGTTATAAACTGCATATAAATCTGATTTATCTGTATATAATTTGTATTTAATAATTCCGCGCAATACAATTATGGCAATTTCCCGTTTCGAGTAGATAAGCAAATACCACGAAATTCGAGATTTACTAGTGAAACGGAGCACTTCAGAGAATTTAGCACGTGCGAAATGAAGAAATATACGGTCACACAAATCACGCCGTTACCTCAGAAGATGGCGTGGAGAACGAGAAAGGGGGATAGGGAGGGTAAAGGAGCAACGCGTAAAGATTATCGCCAGGAACTCCGATAACGTCGTAGCCACCGACTGGTGGAGGAAATAGCGGAAGAAGTGCCGGCTGCCGGAAGCGCAGCCGCGAGTTTCAAACGATAATAATTTCCTGCCAAGCATCGCGAACACCATTCCAAGATTTCCCATAAATTCCTCGATTTCTGGCAAAAAAGAAAGCTGTCGAGATGCGCGAGGTTATTGAACGACTCCTTAATGCGCAACGCTATAAGAGATACCGTAATCTCCAACATTATACACCAGAGAGAACATTCATTATAACGCAAGATATAAAAATGCAGTGCCGGCGTTTAATCGATACATTCCCGAGTATTGATTTTACGCTCATGTAATATTTATTTTCTACTTTGTAATTAAAATTAAGTAAAGAATAACATTGATTATGCAGGTTTCCAACAATCACGATTTGCGCGATAAACATAAAAATTGAGTAAAACTTTATAAAGAAAGGGAAGAGTAGAATATATTATAAAAGTTACCTGAATTTGGCAAACAACTTCGCCGTATGGCCAGCATCCGTAAACAGCTGGTAAGAAACCGAAAGGCGTCACTAGTAGACCAATCGCTAGGTCGTTAAACGCCAAGCTCGTCAGCAGATATCTGGGCTGGAAGAAAGTTGAGAAGAACCTGTTGATCATTCTGGTCAGTGTCAATGGATGTTTAAACGGTGCTGTATACTGATGCGCGATCCTAGCTCCATTATGCAATATTTAATGAGAAAAAATCGATTGCCTTTATGAAAATTTTATTTGAAATTTGCATAAATTTAATTAATGAAATAATTAGCTTTTTCAGAAGTTTAACTAATTGATTAATTAAATTTTTAATAATTATTAGTGGCTGTTATTTTTAACTGCCTTTTGTTTTATTTATTAATTTTTTTAATTAATTCTATTTGTGAGGAAAAATTATTCCACAAATGTTTAATAATGGAAAATTTAATCTTTTGAGTTAAATAAAAAACATTTTAATTCAATTCTTGCAAACTATTTTTTTATTTTCGTCAGTAATTCTCTGAAAATTGATGAGAGTTATTTTTATATAGTTAATACGTAGATGCTACATAATTTTTACATACGCATAAATTAGAACGAGCGCAAAGTCGGTGAATAGAAAAAAGGTGCAAAAAAGCTGGAGAGAAAAATGCAGAAAAGTTGGACTTTGTGGCTGTGTTTGTGGCGTGGGAGATTGTATAATTCCCGATAACGAATTCGCGGGATAAATACTTGTCAGGCTAACCATTTCTCGGGAAGCATTCCGACTAATGTACGCGCCGCGGCATCGGGATAAGCGTACTTTGCGAATACAATGCAGCTAAAAATAACCAGCCTGTATATACTTAACTCGCCAGAGAGATTTACATATTCATGAAGGGAAGATGAATGCCGAATTGATGAATGCCGGGGAACGATACGCTATATACTGCACTTTAATAAACGTGTTCTCAATTTTGCACGTCACGGCGTCATCGCGAACTGCGCCAGCAAATTTTAATTAACCGAATAAATGGAAGATGTAACATTCGCGAGAAATGTCTAATTTTTTGCGGACATCATCATTAGTCTCCACGACTTGGTGCTACTAATTTAGAATTCAGAAGCATGACTATCTCGTATTTCGTGCAGCTAACCACTTCGTACTGATTTACATAGGGAGAAGTGGAGAAAATATCGCGGTTCCTTCCTTCATGGACCGTAAGTTATATTACTGACCGGAACCTTCGTACTCGTATTAAATATTTTACGCACCGTATAATTTTCCAACAAGTTACAAAACAAATATAATATAATCTCATCACCTCTTGATATTCTTTTGTTAGGAAGACGCATCTCGATTTTACTGTACGTTCTATTTTATTCTTCCGCTAGCGAGCGGATTTCAGGGAATTATCAGCAATTATGAGAAAATTTTTATTTGTTGTTTTTTATATTCTTTTGCCGAGATCAGCAGAGTTTAATATTATTCCCTTTGCGCGCATAATTTTAAAGTTATTAAAATATTTTATAACCAAGATAACAGAATTGAGTTTCTTAATTCGGCAAGGTGCAAATTTAACGAAATATAAATCCCATCGATAGAATTGAACTAAGCCGGCTTACTTATTAGTATACAGATTATACAAATATAATTGCATTACAATTTACTTACCTGAGCATGTATGTACTTGTTGTACTGCCTGCAATTGATAACGCATATTACCAAAAGATTGGCGCACAGGATACCAAGACTGAGCAGCAGTATCAGAGTGGCTCGTAGCAGTTCTCCAGGTCCTGGACCTGTCCAAGTGGCCTCGGACGTGCCGCTTCGCCAACAGCTGCTGTTGCTCAGCGATGGTGCCAGTAAGATCGTCTGTTTGTGCTCCATTGTCATCATCAGTAAGCCAATTGCTTTCCCACGTGACTACGGTGCTGAATCTCCAGACGAGACACCCGCGTCCCGCTCGAGGCACACGTACTTCGTACGTTTCTGAATAACCTTTGTCAAATAGATTTTATTATTTTACGCACAGATAAGTTTCAGATGGAATTTTATAATATTTGCTTAATTATTTTATGTAAAGTTGAAGCTCGAGTATGCTGTTAAAGGTTTTGAGCAATTTAGCAATTATTAGAGACACATTGCTGTTCAATATCTTGTAATAATACACAGCAAAATTCTATTTCTATTTTAAAAAGGTGCCATATAAAAAAATGTCACGATAATAAATTGTCGAATAACTTTTGCCAAATTAGAAATATCGTTTGCTTTTTTTTTTGGCCGATATATCTATAAAAGGAGAGTGCACACTGTTATTTTAAGGGATAGTGTTTTTTCTTTCGATAAAATTCAACGGTTCAAGTTTTAAAGGGAAAAGGGATAGAGAGTCGACGATCAAATATCGTAACGAACCTTTCATCCCTGTCGGTCGCGAGTTTTCGAGGACCTGCCTCGCTGATGGCCGACCAGTTTTTTTAAGCACTGCTTCTTCATCGTCGAGAGCGTCGAGGATGTGCACGATTGCAAACGTTTGAGCGCGCCTGAAACGACGCACTCGAAGGACCAATCGTGACTCACGAGTCGTCCATGCGCACCTGCGAAGCAGTGCTGCGTGGCTTCGACCTCTGCCGATGCGCTCTCGACGCGCGGTGCATTGCAGCTTGCATCTACTGCGCTTACGGCTACGCGGGCGAATCGACGAGTCCTGAGGAGGGAAAAGATAAAGTAGTGGATAAAAATAATGTGAAATTCAGTTACTCCCGCCGGCTGAATTTGCACTCTTCTATGCGCAAATTACGAAGTCGAACTAAAGAAAAGTTTGACTTGGCAGTTTGCAAGCTGTCGTGGCTGTCTTGCCGCGTCTGTATTTTAAGTAAAATTTATGATAAAATAAGGAAAAACTTGGTGGTTATTTTATGCATAACTAGTTGTTAAATTTCTCGGTGTGTAAACTTCAAGAGTAGGAAAACTTTGTAGGGATGATGCGTATAGAAAACAATATTTTCGCGGTATAATTTGTTGCATTAATGTACTGAACTACAT